GGAAGCTCTGTAGAGGGTTTGGGCTGGAGCTGCAAAGTTAGGGATCCAGAGGCAAAAGAAGTTAGCTAAACCTGGAAAAGACAGACCCTGTTGTTTGGTTGTGGGCACCTGTGATCTGTGGTGATGGAACGAGTGATGGGGACCACAGACCAGATACGTGACCTTTGGGGAAGCTACTCGGGCTTTAGCAGGACAAACCCTGTGCCCACATTTAGAGCAAATTGAGGAGACTGCTGTGAGCTGTATGGCTGAAGTGTGGGATGGAGAATGCGGGGGAAGGTCATCAGCGTATTGAAGCAGGGTGCTGGGCTTGAGGTCAGGAGCTGTAAGGTCAGCAGCAAGAGCTTGGCTAAGGAAATGAGGGCCCTTCCCAAGCCCCTGGGGAAGCACTGCCCGGAAAGTTGTTGAAATCTGAGGGTGTCTGTGTCAGTCCACAAAAATGCAAATAAATCTTGACAGTAAGGGTGTAGGGGATGGCTGGTAAGGACAGTGTCTTTCAGGCCTAGGCCTGTAAGGTGTGGTGGAGGGAGGGATATGGAGAGCATGGTCTAGGGCCTGGTACCACTGGGTGAACTGGGGTCACGGCGTTGTTGATCACACTAAGGTCTTTTACCAGAAGATAGGACCCCGTAGGCGTGAGTACTGGGGGAACAGGAGTATTGTAGGGTGAATGGGTAGGTTTGAGAAAACCGTTGTCTAAAAGACACTTGATGATAGGTTTGAGCCCTCGTAGGTGTTTGGGAGCTAAAGGATATTGGGGAACGCGAGGAAAGATGGAAGGATCTCTGAGATGAATTAAAACAGACAGCATGGGTGACGCGGGTGGCGCTGGCAGTGTCCCAGACTATCAGATCAGCAAGGGAAGAAGGGAGAGGAGGGGACGGGCTTGCTGTGCACTGTGGGGTGTTTGGAGCATGGGAGCTGTGGGAGGGAGAAGGTAAGGGAGAAGTGAAGCTTTTGGGGGAGATCCCTGCCTAAAAGGGGTGTGGGGCAGGCTGATATTACCAGAAAGCCGTGGGGGCAGAGGAGAGTTTGGAGCCTGCATGGGATGGCCCTGTGTGAAGAGGCTGTGTGTGTTGGCCGTCAACACCCGGCACAGAGACTGAGGACTTAGTACAATGGCCTGAAAACTCAGGAAGAAGCCTATAGGATGCCCCATGTCTGTCAGAGTGATAGTGTTTTACCTGACACCTCCAGTGGGACCTGGGGCTCTGAGAAGGACACCTTAATGGGGGCCGTGGGCCCCGAGCCCCGTCAGTCTTCAGCAGCAGGTCCAAGCAGATCAGCCAGTGATGAATCTAGTGGTGACGAGCTCTCCTGGGCGGGCAGGGAGTTGGAGGATGGCTTACCCGCTCTCTGGCGGCCAGGACAGTCGCTCTTCCAGGGGGCAGAGGAACTTGGGGGTTGGGGCCTCCCCCGCCCGGTGTCACACCTGAAGCATGGTCCGGGAGGGGCTCCGGCAGCTCCACCTTGTTTTGTTTCCCTGAGTTGGGAGCCCCAAGCGCCACTGCTAAAAGATCAGATTGATGTTTAGCAAGTGTCTTTTTTGTGCCTCTTTTTCCTCCTTTTGAGTTTTATCTCTGTTGTTGAAAACATGAAAAGCCAAAGGTCTCCCCGAGGGGTTCACGTTTAGCTTTTTGTAGTTTTGCACGAATGTCAGGAGTAGACTGAGAAATAAAATAAGAGTTAATAACAGTTGTCTCTTCATGAGAGTCTGGGTTTACATTAATACACTTAATTAAGGTGTCCCCAAGTAAGAGGTGTCAGGAACGTAGCCGAGTTGTCATCAGCCTCTTGGACTTGGTCTAAAAGCGTGTTATGGTTAGTATAACTTGTGAGCTGTTTTATTAAGGCCCACCTTGTACATTCAGTCGTCTCATGTACTTTATAAGAACCTTCTCCACCTGGGTAATCCCAGCTCAGGTCCTGTTCAGCACCACCGCAGGCCCGGAGTCGTTCTCAGCAGTTATGTGCCTTATATCTAGATTGACTTCCTCTGGAGCTGCTGGCCCAGCTGAGCCTGCTCTCGTGAGCTGAGGGCGGTGTTCAGAGTCACATAAACATCCTTGAAATATAAGCCATAACAATTATAACAGTTATGAATTCAGGCTCTCTAATATAATTTTGAGGGTCAACCAACAAGGACCCTAATTCATGGTTGACCTGAGACAGGTCAGCGAGGGGAAGAGGACCGTGAATATGAACTTGTCCCTCAGGCCCGGCCGTTCCTGAAGGGGGAGAGGGACTGGGAAGACTGGAGTGGGAGGCGTAGATGGCCACCGAGCAGCTGACCACCCAGCAGGTGTCTGTGGGCAGTTACACATGTGGCAGGGACGCACGAGATGGCGACTGCTTACCATGAGACCCGCAGCAAGATGGCTGCTGCCAGTTACATGGCGAGAGAGCACAGGACGGCGCCTGGTCACCGTGTGACCTGCAACAAGATGGCAGCTGAGGACCGCGTGGTGTGAGACTGCAAGAGGGCAGCCAAGTACCGTGTGGTCTGCCAGGTGGCTGGCACAGGAGACGGAGTGTGGTGGGCCCGTGGGAGGATGGCACCCAGGAGTAGGGGCACAGAAGAAGGCGGCCGTCCAGTGGGACAGGTGGCTCAGGTGGAGGGGACTGAGGGTTAGGGACAGCTGGGTGAGGGCGGGCCGGGTGAAGCGGGGCTCAGAGCCCCGGCGAGAAGGCGCAGAGTTGGGTCTTGGGGAACAAAAACAAGAGGCCGTTGTCTGGGGGTCCTGGCGGAGCAGAGTGAGCCAGGGATGATACTGGGCTCTGCCCGGGACTGGACGAGAGAAGAGCGCGTCCCCAGAGTGGGAACGGCCAGGACGCAAGGGGTTCTGCCAGCTGGCCGCTGTGGTGACAAGAGTTACGCGTCCTGCAGGGCCGGGGGACAGACGTTCTCCCCTCGGGCCGCTGTGAGGCCGGTGGCTTGGCCAAGCCCCTTGAAAGATCAGTTTTGGGGTGTCTGTAGTCTTCTTTAGGCCAAGAGCACTAAGGCTGTGAACCAGGCACCCCAGAGGTGTTTTGGGGGACAGGAAGTGACACTCCCACAGTGACTAAAGTGGAGGTGAGCCCAGGGAACAGCTCTGCCTCCGGATGTAGGGGCTGTAGCTGCCGAGGAACCCGGAAGCTGTCCTGGGTCACACTCACCCAAAGAAGCCGTCACCTGTTTGCAGGTGTGACAGGGAAGGTCCCCAAGGACAGGAGGGACAGCTCTGCTCGGGCTGTCCCGCCCAGGGAGCGTGAGAACTGGCTCTGTCCAGGGACACAGCTTAGGAATTCCTAAGGCGCCTCGGTTGCCCCCGGAGTGTGAGAACCCCGGAGCGCGGTGGCTCTCCTGTGACAGTGAGGTGGCTCGGTGCTGGATGCAGGCTGGCAGCGGCAAGTAAGTGGGTCCTGGAGGAAGGAATAGTGGCCCATAGGCAGGGGAGCCCCAAACCGGGGTGACCCCCGCGGCCAGCACACTCTGCCGATTTCCTGGGTTTGGCACCAAAGTGTGAGCAGGGGGAAGGAGAAGATGGCTTCGCGGAAGATGCGGGGGGAACCTCTCCGAGGGCTTTGGCCTCCTCCTCCCCGGACACGGAGGGCCGAGGTTATGTGACCTCGGATCAGGAGGGGCGCCCGGGCAGGCGGTGCTGAAGTGCGGAGGAACTGATTGCAATTCTCTTCGTGCCCAAATGGGAAAGGAAGTTGTAATTGGGGCTGAAGGGGAGGGAGGAGGAAGTGGCCGTCGGGGCACGCGTCCCCCCTGTGGCCTTCGCCGTGTTAGACCACCGCCAGGGTGTGTAGTAACCTGTACAGGGCAGGAACCTTAGAGGTGACCCGAGCGGTGACCGGTGGCCGCTCCCGCACACCGCGTCCTTCCCGGTGTCAGAGGAAGGGAACGGTCCTCTCCTATGGGACTCCTTCCGGTCAGGCGTGTTTGAGGTCTTCGACTCCCAGTCTGGTGGGCCCTCGTCTGGTGCACCCCAGGGTGCACCCTCGGCCGCAGACTGTTCTCGGTCTGGGCCCCACTGGCGGGTGGGATGGCGAGGCACAGGCCACCTGCCTGGCTGCTGGCCAGTCCCGAGCGGTGCCCGGCGGTGTCTGAGCGAGCTCTGTGCTCTGTGGTGTGGTGGTGACCCGGGAAAGAGTTTCCAGCAGAACTGTCCTGGGCCGGAGACCAGGCCTGGGCCGTGGCTGCTGAGGATTTAGGCCGAGTTTAGCGCTGCCAAGGAAGGGCGCTTCACTGTTGGTGTGTGTAGCGGTGCGGGGGATCGAACCCAGGGCCTGTGCTTGCCGGCAGGAGCTCTACCACTGAGCTGCATCCCCAGCCCCGTGTTAGTCAGTTTGAGCTTAGAGGCTTGCGTGTGGCCGTGGCTGCCTGCCACTGGGCCGGCAGCCCACGGGACAGTGTGGCCCCCAGGCACAGTCGCAGATGTTGTTTGAACTCTAACACCTGTCAGGCAGGACTTCACAGGGCTGCACAGGTTTCTGGGAGCCCCCACATCTTTGGTCCCCGCAGCTTCTGGGGAGCCCTGCATCCATCTCCCAGACACAGCCTCCAGCTGCAGAAGAAGGTGTCCTGGGGGCCAGTCATGCTGGAGCCACGTCCACTGCCGCACGAGGGCAAAGGCTTCGGGCAGGGAGGGAGGTGGCGCGTCCCCCTGACGGTGTCACTCTGTGGGGGGATGGACACACAGCCGGGACGTGCAGGAGGCCGGGGGCTGGAGGGTGGCTGCGGGCCAACCCAGGGAGAGCGGGAGCCCTCCGACTCCTGGTCACCCCGAGAGGCTGCGTGGAGGCCTGCTCCTGTCAGGGTCTCAGGTCAAGTGGGCCCTCCTCTCCCCGTCCCCTGATGTCTTCTGTGGGTGCCTGGGCAGGGTCCCTGGCCGGCCGGCCCAGGTATTGAGGGCCTCGCTGTGGAATCACTGAGCCCCTACGCCGAGTTCCCAGGAATGAACCGACACCTCACCTCGTGGTGTAATCTTGTTCTTGTTTTTGTTTACTGACAGTGAGCGTTGAAAAGATAGACCTGAAGGGACTGTCACACACAAAAAGCGACAGGAACGTCGAGTGCGCCTTCGAGGTAAGACGCTGCTGTCCCTCTGCCGCAGCTGCTGTTCCCTGAGCGGGGTGGACACAGTGTCCAGTCCCTGCTGGCGCAGGGCCGAGACCACTCCTGGGAGGGCCGGTCAGGTGCATCTCTGTCGCGTGTCCCCAGGACGGTGGCTGAAGCCAAGGGTCCTGGGTGGGGAGGACGTTCTCAGCACACCTGGGGGTCTGGGGAGTGTTGATTCACTCTGTGCCCTGTGCGTGGCAGTTCCAGGGACCAAAGGTGCCCGTGAGGACCAGCAGTGGGCACGGAAGAGGTCTCCAAGGGGACCTGCACCCCGGGTAGGCGGTCCCCGTGTTGCCCCAGTGGAACCGTTCCCTAGAAATCAGATGTACCAATGTGGGATAGGAGTCCACATCCACGCTGGTGTGGGGTGTCGGTGCCCATCCGAGCTCACGTCCTGGCTCAGTCCCAGTTCTGCGTGGACCTTGACCTTGCTCAGTCTCGTGGTCCCAGAGCGGGGCCAGCGCCTCTTCCTCCTGGGCAGCAAGATGTCCGGGAGAAAAGACCATTCCCGAAGCCTCCATGTGTGTTCTGTCCCCGTAGCTCAGTCGAGGCAGGGAGCTGTGCTTGGCTCGCCGTGTCCCTCCACAGTCTGGCTGTCACCTGCCCGCGCGCAGTGTCCGGGCTCCGGTGACTGTGTGCGTCTCTGGCCGCTGACTGGTCGTGATGTGTGCCCAGTAGCAAAGGCATCTGGGAAGTGCCCTGCGTGCCCGCCTTGAGCAGGGGCCAGGCTCCCGTGGGCTGTGGCAGCAGGCTGCTCCTGCTCCAGGATGGTCCTGTGTGACCGGGGAGGTGCTGATCACGAAGAGTGGTGACGAACCGTCACGTGTGGGGCTCACGGGAGAGGAGGCCGCTGGAGCCTTGGCACAGTAGGGTCCCTAGGTGCCAGCGTCCCCAGAGCATAGGAGTGGCAGGCTGCACGGGGTCAGGGGGTTTCCTGGTGGCCTCTGTGTTCCCTGGGCTCCTGGATGTACGCTGTTGGTGCCCGTGGACCTGGCTGCTCTTCACACCTTCCCCTGCCTCTGCATCCTGCCCTCCTGCCTCCCTGAGAGGGATGTTGCTGTCACCGTCAGCCTCAGCGGGGCCGCATTGCAGGAGTGTGCTGTGCAGGAAGTCACCTCACAGTGGATCCTGCTTCCGCTGGGTCACAGTGGGCCTCAGCTTCCCGTCCCTGGGATGACCGGGCTGTGTCCACAGCACTTGCCGAGATGACGTCACAGCCAGGGCGGCTGCAGCCTGTTGTAAGGTGTGAGCTTCTGAGGGCAGACCTGGTACACAGAGCTCTAACCAGGACAGGGAGAAGCCACTGGCGCTGTCACCAAAGGACTCGGACGCAAGCAGGTGTGAGGAGCTGCTTCGAGGCCAGGTTGCTGGAGAGTGGGAGCCCATTCCTGAGAGGTGCCGGGGCCCAGGCAGGCTGTGTCTGCCCCTGTGGTGCCATTGTGTGCAGGTTTGCGCTGTGCCTTCTCTCTGTGAGTGGCCGGCTGGAGGGCATTGATGGTGTTGCTGTGTATGTGTCGGTCACATGCCACATGGCAGCTGTGCCTCTGCCGCATCTCCCTGAGCCTGGGGCTGCTCATTGGAGACCACAGGAAGGGTGCGCAGTGCACCCTCGGTGTCCTGACTCTGGCCAGTGCCCCAGGCCCCAGTTACACTGCTTCAGCCCACACCGGGCCAGTGGCCAGCAGCCAGAGAGCCCTGGCGCCCGTGTCCTGCATTCTGGCTTCTTGGAGTCCCCAGAGAGAAGAGGAATTGTCCTGGGCCACGTGTGAAGTACACAGTGTAGTGGACACGTAGAAACGGTAAGACTCCTTTAGCTTTTAAATGTTTTGACATCACACTGAAAAGAAGGCCGTGGAAACTGGGCTAGCGGGGCCTGCGAGCTGGTTCTGGGAAGCCGATGGGCCGGTGTCTAGCTTCCTAAGTGTGGCCACGATTCCCAGTGAGGTCTTGGGTGCTGTCCAGCCCACTGCCCCCTGCCCACACCCCACAGTGTTCTGCCATCGCCTGCAATGTGTGGGGCTGCGGGTGTAGGCACTGTCCCCGGGGAAAGGTGCCCTCCATGCCACAGTGAGGGAGCCCTTCACACCTGCTGGGTGTGCCAGCCCCCAGCTGCAGCACACCTCCCGCTGGTAGAGTGTGGCACAGTGGAGAAGTTACGACAGCGCTCTGGGGTGACCGGCAGGTCCACTCTCTGCACGAGCTGCACAGAACATTCGCCACAGCCTTCTGTCCCCAGAGGATGGAGGCACAGCAGCTCCCAGGGGTAGGAAGGAGTGGGCAGTGGCCCGTGCTGGACCTGGTTCCTAAAGGTGCTGGCTGTCCGAGTCCTCTGACGTCGGTGGGCGTGGATCCCTAGTGTATGGGCTACTTTCCTCCCATTGCTGAGGCAAAATACCCAACACTAAAAAAAGTAAGACAAGGTTTATTCAGTTCAGTTTGTGGAGTTTAGTCAGCTGACTCCAAGGCAGGGTGGTGTGGCGCAGGATTGCGTTCAAGGTGCTAGAGGGCAGCAGGAGCAACCAGAGCCGCAGCAGGCAAGCAGGCCCTGCCCCTTACAGCGTGCCCAGGCCCCCCAGGGGCACGGCGCTCCCTCCCTCCGTCCCTCCCTGGGGATCTAGCTCAGTGGTGTAAGCGCCTGCCTGGCAAGTGCAAGGCTATGAGTTCAATTCCCAGTAACCCAAAAAGAAATGCTCACCACCAGCATTGTCTATCAACATGAGAACCATAACATTTCCTCCACTGGCCCCAGAAGAGCCACACACAGCCCTTTATGCAAAAGGCATTTAGTCCATTTGTGGGAGTTGCCGAAGCCCGAACAGTGTCAGCACTGCTGAAAAGTCCAAGTCCCAGGTCTCCCCTGAGATGGAAGGCAAACTGGTCGCTACAGCCCCCTGTACAAATGAAAAGTTAGACACTTCCAGTGTTCCATGGCATACGATAAAAACATTTTCATTCCAGAGTTACAGATGGGGATACAAAGGATTGAAACCCATCAATTCCCAAGTCCAGTGGAGCACACATGAAGTCCTGTGCTTCCACGTTCAGTGTCTGAAGCAGTCTGTGGCGGAGGCTGGAGAGACTCTGCCCTCATGGCATCCTGGGGGTTGCAGGCCCACAGCTTTCTCTGAGGCCCGCTCTGCTCTCGGGCGCTCCCTGTTCCTGGAGTTTCCAGACTCCTGGGGTCTCCACTGCACCTTCACCCTCACCCTCCCCGCTTCACACACTGCCCCTCGGCACACTGCCGGGCCTCCCGGGCCTTCTGAAATCAGGGTGCAGAAGCCTTCTTAGCCCCACAGCTCTTGCATTCTACATGCATCTGACCTCAGCATCACACGAATTCCGCCAGGCTCTGCCGCCAGCTGGGGCAGGACCCAGGCTCTCCCTCCTTGGCTGTAGGTGTCCGGGGCCTGGCCGCTGAGCACTCGGAACAGACGGTGCTGCTGCCGCTCTGGAGCCTGGTGCTCTGCAGCTCTCCTCAAAGCAAAGGCTTTCGCTTTTGCAGTTTTGAGGTTGGAGAATTGCTGCTCTCTGTGATGCTCTCGGCTGTCTTTATATTTTCCTGTTTCTTTGTAGCAACCAAGATCTCCTCAGCTCTATCTTTGCAGGCCATGGTTTTTTTGTTTTTAATTTTTAAAAAATTATTTTAGGGCTGGAGATTTAGTTCAGCAGCGTACAAGGTGCCTTGCAAGCGTGCCGTCGTGAGTTCGATCCCTGTTACCGAAAAAGAAATTATTTTAAAGAGAATAAAATCAAACAAAATTAGAACAGTGAAAGTGGTACAGGACCTCAAAACAAGATAATAGGAAATCAACAATAGCTACCATAATGCCTCTTATTATCTGCAAAATAGTTATCCATACCATCAGACACAATAAAATCAAACAAAACAGAACGAATAAAACCAATCAAAACAATGAAAGTGATACTACTTCAAAAGATAATAGGAAATCAACTGGCTACCATAGTGTGTCTTGTTATCTACAAAATAGCTGCCTTTCCCATTAGATATAATAAAGTCAAAACAAAATAGAATAAAACCAAACCAAACAAAACAGTGAAAATGATGCAGGGCTTTAATAATAGAGGATTAACAATGGCTACCCCCTTCAGAAGGAGACAGATCGCCTATTGTTATCCCCTAAATAGATGCTCAGGCTACCGGCTTTAGGTCTGCAGTCAAGCCCTACCAGCATCGAGCTGTCCTTGGATTCCGCAGCTGCCGTCTCAGTCTGTGCTCCTCTGAGGCAGCCGGGCAGTAGCGCTGCTTGTCTCCCCGCCCACCCCTGGCCGGCTCACAGGAAGGCATTAGCCTCTGTTTGGTTCTCTTCCTGGCTCACCTGGCTGCTGCCGGCTTACAGTGAGCTGTGCAGTGACGGGACGCCAGCCCTGGGTCTCCTGGGAGAGGGATGGGGAGGGCGATGTGTTTATGCTGAAGAGGGGTGGCTTTGTTGAACCGTGGTGGAGGGCTACACACCACGCGTGTGTGTGGTTTGTGGTCAGCGTGACTTGGAGCTCTTTAAAAGTTATTTGAAGATGCCAGGTGCAGTAGGGCGTTTTTGTAGTCACAGCTACTCAGGAGGCTGAGGCAGGAGGATAGCAAGTTCGAAGTCACTTAGTAAAACCCTGTTTTATACTTCAAAAGGGCAGTGGGTGTAGCTCTGGTGGAGCCTCAGCAGGCCTGAGGCTTTGCCTTCAGTCTGCAGTACCAGGAAAGGGAAAAACAGAACCCCAGAAAACCTTCCTTTAGCCTCCTGAACTGGGAAACTGAGGTAAAGGTCCTTTCAGTCAGCGACACAGACAGCGAGGCTGCGCTCCCGGAGACACAGCTGGCAGAAGCGTGTCTCTCGGGGACCAGGAGCTCGGTCCCCAGGCTGGCCCCGGCCACAGGGCTTCGCGGGAGAAACTTCCCGCGGGAGCCGGGTTTCCTCTCTCCTCCAGGAGTCGGCTTGGTTTTCGCTGAAATCGTAATTGCCGGTTACCAGTTACTGAGGAAGCCAAATGAGTGTGGGAAGCAAATGATAGAATATTTTTGAGTGTAAGATTAGTGTGCATGCATGTGAGGTGTCAGTATTGTATCAGCTTTTCCACTTGCTGGAAAGCAGGACTGAAAGAACTAAATGTTTCCAAAGAAATTTCCTTGTGACACGTGATGAACAGGAAATGAATCACACAAAAGATCCCCAACTTCCTCTGAGGACTGCAGAGTCGTCGTAACTCGGCAGCCAGCCAGTGGGTTGCCAGGGCAGTCGGGTATCGCAGGACATTAGGTTGCTAAAGTGCATAAATAAACACCCCTGCCATGGAGGGCCGGTTCCTTTCCTCCCATCAAAAAAAAAATAAAGCTGGTCTGGTCCATCTCAGAGCAGAGTTAGCCGCGCTGGGTGTTGGGTTCTGCTGGCCAGGATGAGTCTCAGGAACCGCAGAGGTGAGTTTTCACTGCTGTCAATTTGAACGTGCGTCATCAGAGAGCCCAGGGACCCTACAAGATGTGACCAGGAGTCACAGGGGCCCCAGGTGTCTGGGGCTCCCCCCTCGATGTGCTGGGGCCCTCAGGTCACCTGAGTCATGTGGCCGTTTGCTGCTGGGCTTCGGGTCTCCGTGGGGCTGTGTGAACTGCGGGCTGGAGAGGCGTGCGAGGTGTGTGGGTGCTGTGCAGGACGCGCTGTGCTTTGGGGGCGAGGCTGCTGCTGTGCCTGGAGCCGGAGCCTTCGGGCTCAGAACGGGCTTGTGGTGTCTGCTCAGCAGGGGACAGAATGCCGTGAGGGCGCGCGCCTGCCGCAGCAGAGGGGTACGGGGTGCAGGTGTGGGGAGTTCAGCACGGAGGTGCCTCCGTGTTACCTGGACTTGGAGAGCTTGGTGAACAGTGGACCTGGCACCTGTCGAGGGGACAGCTGGCCACAGCAGTGTGTGCTGCCAGGCAGCGGGGGTGGCTCTGGGTCTCAGCTCCTGTGCCCTAAGCCAGGCTTCGGGTGAGGAAACACTCGGGGCCTCGAAACCTCTGGCAGCTCCTGGCTTTTAGGTCGAGTTAGCATTTCACGCTTCTCAGCCAGCCCCTTCCTGTCCCTGGGGCCACCCACCCTGGCATCGCATCTGTGCACAGGAGCTGCCCCACACGTGCAGGGCCCATGCTCAGGCTTGGTGGCATCTCTGCATCTCCATGGGATCTGAGGTGACCACACGGGGTGGAGATGGCAGAGACGCAGCTGTGCCTGGGCCCTGCGAAATATTCTGCAGCCCCTCTGTCTGAGGCCCCCCGGGCTCACTGCTGGCTGGTGTCTTGCCTCCTCGGAGGCCTGCTTCCCTCTGGGGCTGTCCCTGTGGTCCTCAGGGCAGGTCCCAGGGCAGAGGCGCCCCCTGGGGTGCTCCTGACTGCCCCCTGGGTCGCATGGTCGTGGTCAGGAGGAGGTTTGCTGGAGGAAGCAGGCCTGTGCACACGTCAGGGTGTTGTGAGGTTCTAGAAGTTGCAGGAGTAAGCTTTGCACCCCACGCTCTGTTAACTTGAACAGTGGCAAGTTGGGCTTTAATGGACCCGAGTTCTGTGACTTCCCTTGGGAACAAGTCCCAGGGTCACTGCGTGCCCCGTGCCCACAGGTCCTGCCCTGCAGTCCAGCCTGGCCACGGTGCTGAGGCTCAGGGTCAGGGTCTGAGTCCCAGACTCGCTTGTTTCTTCCCAAGGTGCTGTGGTCTGATTCATCAGTGACGTCTGTGACCAAGTCGTCCTCAGAAGTGACCGAGTTCATCTCCAAGGTAAGGCCGGGTGCTCACGCTGGCTAATGTTTACCCTGCTGGCCCTTGGCCTTCTTGGGCCTCCCGTTCGCCTTCCCCGTTCTGGAGAGTTCTCGGGCGGGGTCTCCCTGAGTCTCCCTTCCCCTGGCCCCGGCTCTCGGAGGCCCCCGGCCCCGGCCGTTGGGCAGCCACTCGCACCCTCCGTGGCGGCTGCTGCGCCTCCCGCTCTGCCCAGAGGCTCCCCTGGTGTCTGGCTCTGCCCTGATGTTCTGCTCCCGCTTCCCCATTTCACGTCTCACAGTGAAAGCCTGTCACGCCGAGACTCCCCCATCCCTCTGCCCCTGTGTCCCTTGCTGGGCCTTCGGCTCAGTCCCTGCGTGAGGTTCCAGCGGCTGGCTGACTCCTGAGTCTCCTAATTGACGATCCTTCCAGCCTCTCTTACTTTCTGCTCATCTCACAAAGTTTGGTTGGCTGTCAGGTGTCACGTCAGTAAGACGGGGACGGAGGAAGGAAGCAGCACTTACACTCCCAAGGAGCGCACTGTCCTGGACAGGGCCTCGGCGGGGTCTCAGGTTGTCCCAGCAGGAGTGGCCGGCGGGGCCCCTGTTGCCCCTGTCCGCCTCGGGGTGGAAGGGGACCGCAGCCTGGGTCTTGTTCTCCCGGGGTGCGGAAGGCTCCTCCCCTGCCCCATGCCCAGGGGCGCTGTGGTGCTGAGCCTGGGGGGAGAGGAGCCTGCACTCCGCCCGCCCAGCCTCCTGCCAGGCGCAGGGCCTGTGTCGCTGCCCTGGCCCCTCCCCGCAGCATCTGCCCTCCACTCTGGGCCTGGGCGGGGCCTGGGGCCTGGGCATCTGTGCCTCTCCTTTGGAGTCTTCGCTGTGGTCTGCTGGCCCAGGCACGGAGCTGCTGCCCTCCACTCCAGGGCCAGAAACAGTTCTGGGCCTCTACCCTGCGCCCCAAGGGCTTTGGCCTTGATGGAAGGGGCGGGGCCTGAGGAAGAGTGGGCACTGTGGTTTGTGCCTGTCCCCCTGGGGTGCGCTCCTGTGCAGCTGCGGCACGCTATGGGCATCGCCCATTCCACCCGTCCCTGGCGACCACTGGCCTGTGGTCGCAGGTGACGTAGTGTGTTGGTCCCCTTGACATGCAGCTCCCCAGGTGGCCTGCAGCTGAGCCTCCGATGGACCGACCGGTGAAGCTGGGGCTGGGCGGTCCCTGAGCGCACCTTGCTGCAGTGGGACTAAGCGGACGGGAGCCAAGCGTAGCGAGGGTGGACAGCTGATGGCCTGGCCGGTCCCCACGGCCTCGCAGCGCCGAGGGCTCGCTCAGTGCCCGCCCTCGAGAGCTTCCTGACTCGTCTGCTCTTTCAGTTGTCCCAGCTCTGCCCCGAAGAGAACCTGGACAAGCTCATTCCTTGCCTGGCCGGCCCAGACCCCTTCTACGTGGAGCGGAGCCACGTGGACCTGGAGGCCGGCCTGAGGTGGGCAGGGCCTCCGGCTGCGGGTCTCCGTCCTCCGAGTGCCGGGGGACGGCGTTGGGGGAACCGGAAGTGCTGAGGCCGCAGCGGGGCTGGCCCAGGGTGGGGTGGCCCTGCCAGCAGCCCTCAGGCCACGCTGCTGTCGGTGCCCTGTGACGCCGTGGCCACGAATCACCTTCAGGAGCTGCACGTTTGTGGCACTAGTGGCCACAGCATAAGGGGAGGAAGGCGGTGAGACGGTGGGCGCTAAATCAAAGCAGGGGCCCAGGCCTTGTGCTGCCCACCCGCGCTCCGGGAGGCTGAGGCGGGAAGGTTGCGAGCTGCAGCCCCGCCCAGGCGACCTAGTGGCTTTCCCAGGCTTGTCTCAAGATTAAAAAATTACAGTCAGTAAACATGGGCTGGGGAACGTAGCTCGATACGCAGGGGCCTGGGCTTCTTTCAATACTACAAAAATATTAAAGCCGGCACTTTAATGAAGCGAATGGTTCTTGTAGCTATTTTTCCCTAATAATCTTTTTCTCTTAATTAAAAACTAAAATTCCTCCCCTAATTGGTTTCATTAGTGCCTGGTTCATGCTGACAGAACTTTAATTTTCAGGTATTTGGCTTCATTGCCATCTCATGTCTTGAAAAACGACCACGTGAAGAAGTTTTTCAGCACCTCGTGTCCCCCACAGCAGCTGCAAAGCCCAGGTGCGTCTGTCCCCCACCTCGCAGGCAGCATGACTCTGGCCTACCCGGGCTGCCACACGCTGTGTTTTCTGACTTCTAGGTCCTGGCAACCCTCCCCTGCCCAAGGTGGGCACCGTGATGGGCACGTCTGGAAGGTGAGCCCGCAGCCGCCGTTTCCAGTGAACCCAGCTGTGGTGGCGCTCAGGGGACTTGGGCAGCTCCGGCCCAGCTTGAGGCGTCCCTGGCGTCCGAGCCGTGGGTTTTGCTTTTTGACTCTTCTGAATCGCCGTGTTATGTAGCAATAACACAAGCATCTCAGTCTGGTGGTGACAGACACCTGCCCGTGTGCACAGGGATGCTCACACGCATGCGCTGTGCCTGCCCGCAGCTGCCATGGGCGGGGCTTGGGGTGAATATGGGCGGGGCTTGGGTGGGATGGAGGGTGTGGGAGGGGCCTGGTGTTCCTGAGCTGGTGGTGGGCTGGGTGCCCAGTGCCCTGCAGGAAGCGGAGCTACCTGAGCACCCTTCGGCGCAGGCATTGCCTGAATTTGGTCCCCTTGCCCGCCTGTCTGGTCCCGCAGGCCCGTGTGCGGCGTGGCCGGTATCCCCTCCTCCCAGAGCAGTACCCAGCACCACCTGCCCCACGTGGCCGGCCCAGGCTCAGCGCTGGCCTACCGCGCCCAGGTGGACCCGGCGCCCGCCATCCTCATGCCCCCCGGCCTGCAGGCCCCTCAGCCACAGGAGCAGAACGGCATCTTGGACTGGCTGCGGAAGCTGCGGCTGCACAAGTACTACCCGGTCTTCAAGCAGCTCACCATGGAGAAGGTATGCGGCCGAGGCCTGTGCCAGCCTCCTCCCTGGGCAAAGATCCCGACCCGGTGTGGGGCGCTCCAGGGGCCTGGGCCGGGCGCGCCCTGCAGCCGGCTGCCCAGGAAGGCGTTTTTACAGTGAAGATCTGACCGCTGTTTTGGTGTTGCTGCTGGTGCTGTTGCTGTTGGGAAAACCCGAAGCAGCCTTCAGTCTTGGAGTCAAACACCCTGCTGGGCAAGACGGCTGGGGGCTGTTAGCAGTGAAATCCTCGTGTGTGCAAAACTCTGTTGAGCCTAGAAGTGAAGCTTTTAAGAATATTTATAATGACCTCAGTCTGGGTTGTTTGTTTGTTTTGATCCAGGCTGTTGCAGTATCGCAGTCAGGCTGGCCTTGAACTCACTGTGTATCAGCCTGGCTTCAAACTCATGGCCATCTTCCTGCCTCAGCCTCCCAACTTGGGTCAGCCTGGGCTGCCTAGTGAGTTCAAGGCCAGCCTGAGCCATACAGACCTATTTCAACTAAATAAAAGGAGGAAAAGACTTATAAATCTTAAAAACAAGGTTTAGCTAGCTGTGGCAGTGGACACCTGTAATCCCATCTACCGGGGAGCCAGAAGCCAGAGGATGGGGAGTTTGAGGCCAGTCTGGGGGACTTACCAAGACCCTGTCTCAAAAGTAAAATGGACTGGCAGGGTAGCTCAGTGGGAGAGCACTTGCCTGGCATGGCTGAGGTCCCTGGTTCCTACTACTCACTCACTCACACACACACACACACACACACACACACACACACACACACACACGGAAACAAAGGAGCTCAGTACTCGTGGTCATAATCAGTGGATGTGCTCTGATTGAATGTACCAGAGGAGGTGGCTAAATTGCAAAGCCCGTCCTGGAGGATGTGACCCCGGTCAGACTGGAGGGTAGCGGTGTTCCACCTGGACACAGGCTTTGTCCTGGGCGGTTTGCTCCCTGCTCATGTGGCTGCGTGTTCGGAAGGAAGGGTGACTGGCTGGCACCCCCAGCAGGGTCTCTTTTGCATGGGGCCCCCCTAGGGATGGCGGGGCTGCTGCCACCTGAGCATCTCTGGGCGGTTGGAACTGTGACTTCTCGAGTCACCTGTGCACGGAGCGCATCCCGGCAGGTGGCCAGCCTGCGTGGAGCAGAGGGCTGCCCAGTGCTGGCCCCGTGGCACCTGTGCATGCATCATGCCCCCATGGCGTGGGGCGTTGAGACGGTGCTGCGTTCCGTGTGTGCCACCTGGTTGGGCTTGCCCTGCTGCTGAGTCGCAGAGGCAGAGGCGGCACCTCCCGGCGGCGCTGAGCTCTGTCCCCAAGGCCGTGTGGAGTGGTGGTAGCTTTGCCATTTGTTTTTCTCTGCAAGTTTTTGAGCCTTACCGAGGAAGATCTGAACAAGTTTGAGTCCCTCACCATGGGAGCCAAGAAGAAACTCAAGACGCAGCTGGAGCTGGAGAAGTAAGTGTGCTGCCTCCGGGGGGCGCAGGAGACCCCGTGTCTGGGCGTCTTTCTGGCCTCCTGCCTCCCCGGGGCTGGAACTTGTGCGCAGGTGTGGCTGGCTGGGCAAGCGTAGGCCGAGGCAGGCTCCTCAAACGGGAAGTGCTGCCCGACCCCTTGCTCTCGGTTCTCGCAGGGAGAAGTCCGAGAGACGGTGCCTGAACTCCACAGCCCCGTCCTTGGTCACCAGCAGTGGAGTGGCCCGAGTCCCCCCCACCAGCCATGTGGGGCCCGTGCAGGCTGGACGCAGCAGCCATGCGGCAGGTGCGTGGGGCCCGGTGAAACACGCAGCCCGGTGGTCCTCGGGGAGAGCTGGGTCTCCGGTCCCTGGGTGCCGTTTGCGTGTCCCAGTCACCGTGCTTGTCTTCATTCTAACTGTGGAGTTGCTGGTGCAGGAGGGGGCGGGACAGTGGGACAGGAGAGGACCCTGGCGACTTAGCGGCACTCGAGTGGAGAAAGTGTTAGGTGCAGAGCCAGCCTGCTGAGCTTGAGCGGTTGGAAGTGACAGGGCTGGGGACCCAGGCTCCTGTCCAAGGAGTCCAGAGGCCCTGGGTCTTGCTTCGCGCTGGTGGCCAGTACAGCTCACTCTCAGCCTCCTGTTCTGAGTCCCGAAGCCACGTGACTCAGTTTCTCAGCTACCGTCCGGCCCCCTCTTGGGAGGTGGGGGCACTTTGCAATAGTCACTTGTTTCTGGATGGAGTGGACCCAGCAGGAGCGATGTGGTATAGACCAGGAGGACACCAGTGGCTGTCTGTCCTGGGAGGTTATTGAGCTCTCAGGATCTCATGTCGCCGGCGCAGATGGCTGTGTGTGCGAGTGACCGTGAGGACTTCAGGGATGACAGTGTGGCGCATCCTGGGAATCGGTGCTGCTGGGGAGGTGGGGTGGGGGCTCCTGCAGTGGAGCAGAACCGCTGGACTCCGAGCTCCTCATGCAGCCTGGGGCTGTGCTGCTGTGCGGACGCTGACTGCACCTTCTCCACAGAGCTGCGGGTGGAGGTGGAGCAGCCCCCTCACCAGGTGCCCCGGGAAGGCGGCAGCTCCTCTGAGTACTCCAGCTCCTCCTCCAGCCCCATGGGCGTGCAGGCGCGCGAGGAGAGCTCAGACAGCGCCGAGGAGAGCGACAGACGTAAGCCCCCCGCTCCTGCCACGCTGGCCCGGCCCGGGCGGGTGAGGCACTGACCAGTCTTCTCTGTCCCCAGGCGTGGATGTGCACCTGGAAGGTGCTGACAAGGAGAAGCCTGTGATGCTGCTCAGCCACTTCCCCTCGAGCTCTGCCAGACCCACGGCCCAGGTCCTGCCCGTGCAGAACGAGGCTGGCTCCAGCCCAGCCAGCCACCACCCCCTGGCCCCGCAGCTGCTGCCCGCCACTCCACACCTGGCCCCCATGCGGATGCTGAGCTCCGTGCACAAAGGGGAACGTGCGAGTTCGGACGTGAAGCTCCTCTCCTCATCTGTGCACTCGATCCTGTCTCTGGAGGAGAGGGGCAAAGGGCCTGCGGCCAGGAGCGGTGTGAAGGTGGACAAGGGCTTCGGCAGCGCCGTGCTGGACTCGCTCCCCGCAGCGGTGCCACACCCACCCGTGCAGGTCCTCTCGGGACTTTCTGAGAGCAGCGCTGTGTCCCCTGCGGTCTCCTTCGGTCCCCGGGCCAAGGTAGTGCACGCGGCCACACTGGACAGGGTGCTGAAGACCGCGCAGCAGCCGGCCCTGGCGGTGGAGTCCAGCACGGCGGCCGCAGGGACACCAAGCACTGTGCTGCATGTGGCCAGGCCGCCCATCAAGCTGCTCCTGTCCGCCTCTGTACCCGCTGACGCTGCCAGCTCTGGGCAGACCACCTGCCCCAACAGCGTGCAGATCAGCGTGGCGCCTGCAATAATCAACCCCCGGACCGCTCTGTACACAGCCAACACCAAAGTTGCCTTCTCCGCCGTGAGCAGCGTGCCCGTGGGGCCCCTGCAGGGCAGCTTCTGCGCCAACAGCAACACTGCCTCCTCCAGCAGCCACCCCGCGCCCTCCTTCGCCAGCATGGCCACGCCGCCCAGCTACCCGGCCCCCAGCTCCAGCCCCGCGCTCTCCTCCATCCCCGAAAGCAGCTTCTACAGCGGCAGCGGTGGCGGCGGCTCCGCCGGGAACCTGCCCGCCCAGAGCCAGGGCCACCACCACCACCACCACCATCAGCAGCCCCCGGCGCCCCCGCAGCCCGCGCCACCGCCGCCCGGCTGCATTGTGTGCACCTCGTGCGGGTGCAGCGGCAGCTGCGGCTCGGGCGGCCTGACCGTGAGCTACACCAACTACTTCCAGCACCCGTTCTCGGGGCCGTCGGTGTTCACCTTCCCCTTCCTGCCCTTCAGCCCCGTGTGCAGCAACGGCTACGTGAGCGCGCAGCAGTACGGCGGCGGCTCCGCCTTCCCCGTGGTGCACGCGCCCTACAGCGGCAGCGTCACCCCCGACCCGGTCCTGGGCGGCCAGTCTTCCTTCGCCGTGCCACCCATGCAGAACTTCGTGGCCGGGACGGCGGGCGTGTACCAGACCCAGGGGCTGGTGGGCAGCAGCAACGGTTCTAGTCACAAAAAGAGCGGGAACCTGTCCTGTTACAACTGCGGGGCCACCGGGCACCGCGCCCAGGACTGCAAGCAGCCGTCCATGGACTTCAACCGGCAAGGTAAACGCTGGGTGCGGCCGCCGGCCAGCCCGGGGCGTGTGGACGCGGTGGTCCCTGCTCTTGTTTTTCAAGCTCTCTGAAACACACGGAATCTCGGTCACCTGTGAAGCCCCTGGAAGGCTCACTGCGGGTCCGGGACTGATCGCGGGGTTTGTCACTGGGAGCCGCCTGGGGCTGGGCAGGGGCCCCGGGCGCTGAGTCTCCCCAGGTAGGAGGGGGGGTGCTGCCCCCTGGTGGATACCGGAGAGCGCCGTGGAGCAGGGGAGCCGCCGCCACCTGGGGTGCAGCCTGCGGGGTCGGCTCCTGCCCCCTGGTCCCACTTTCCCGCTCCCCCTTAGCCACAGTCAGGAGTGTGGGACGAAGACTCGCACCAGGTTTATTCTGATTGTCTAGGGAAAGTCACCCGGGTAGGGAGAGGCTCGGCCAGGCCAGCCCTGGACCCCGGCGCCCTCCGAGAGCTTGGACGCAGAGCTGCCTGTCCACCTCGGCACTCGCGGAGCCTTTAGAAGCAGCACCTGCCGCTCGGTCGGTCCGGTGCGGGCCAGCCAGTGGCCGGAGGCTCTGCGTGGGCCCCGGGGTGCCTCCCTTCTCGAGGCCCTGTCCCGACCCTGCCGGGGGCCGCCTTGTGCAGTCCACTTCCAGGGTGGGGGTGCTCTTTGCGAGGAGGGCTGGGAGAGTTGTGCCCAGCGCCAGCCGGGCCGGGCAGGCCGCTGGCCTGTCCTGTGCGGTGACTCACTTGCCTCTTTCCCCTCCAGGTACTTTTAGGTTGAAATACGCCCCTCCAGCCGAAAGTCTGGACTCCACAGACTGACGTTTTTCTCTGGCAGCAGAAATGATTAAGCCATGGAGACATAAGGAAATTAAACGCAGAACTGCAGCGGTAGTTGCTGTTGAGCTTAGTATTTTTAATCCAAAGGTGCTTTACTTTATTAGACTGGATAGAATCTCTAGCGTAGACATGCATCAAACTCCGTTTTATTGCCAAAACCCTAGGTTGGAGCTTGAAGCCAGGACCTGCCGATGGGCCTCCCGCGGTGGGTGACATGGTCACCTGCACCCCGGCGGCAGTGATGAAACTGTTCCCCAGGAGCGTCGCTCGCTGGTCCTCCAGGCTCACACACAATTCCAGGGCAGCTACGCACGGTCTGACCGGCCTGACGGTCGCGTTCTCCCGAGGAGCCGCTGCGTGGACTCTGCACAGCCTGGGTCAGGGAGAATGCCAGCGTCCTCACCTCCTCTCCTGTTTCCCTCAAGTGACTGGGCACTCACCGCCGGGATCTCTAAGCGCCACGGCAGAATGTAACCCCACGTAGGTCTCTGGTGTGGGCCACAGAGTCCTCCGACCCAGCCAGTGCAGGAGGCCGCTCGCGTGGAGTGGGCACCAGCAGGCGACAGCTTCCTCCGTGACAGAGATTTCAGTGCGTCCTTCCCTCCCTCCGACACTTGTAGCACTTCCAGGTTTTTTAAGATTTTTCCTGCAGATAAATGTAGACTCCATTAATAAACAGAAGTAGCTCATCCTCGACAACTTCATTTCTAAGGGTCCAAGTCCCAGGAAATCGAGTCCCCGAAGCTCGAGCCCGTCCTGGCCCGCTCTCGGCACCTCAGCAGACTCCTGCGGGACACAGATGGCCTGGTGGACGCCCTGCCCTCGGGGAAGCTGGCAGGTGTCTCTTCTGTGGGCTCCCTGGGATCCCAGCCGAAGGGCTGACGATGCCGGAGTCACGCCCGGATGACTGCTCCTTCCGGAACACAGCCCTGCAGCGTGGACACGAGCGATCAGGAACTTGTAAAGGAGGCTGTGTTCTGACCACCAATTCCGTTAAAAACCGCCTGGAGGACTTAGCAGGGCGCCAGTCTGAGACCGCTTGGCAGGCACAGCCAGGAGGCACATTGCTAAGCAGGAGGCGGGCGGAGTCTGCTCGGCTGGATTGCCACAGGTCAGCCCGCAGGAGATCGTGTTTGGTCTGACGCTTCGGGACTTCAGTCTTCAAGGTTAAAGGGAATTCTCTCCAAAAAGCAACATTTAAAATGCTAAGCCTTCAATATTAAAATATTGATCGGTAGAGTCTTGCCAGGGGTTTTCCAGTTGAATATTTGTTAACAAGAAAATCACAGTATTTAGACCATTCTTAAAACGGGACAATCAGCCTCATGCAAAATTGTTGTAAATCACACACACACACAAAAGGAACCCTAGAATTTGAGGTGTTGCAATACGAGGCTTTGCATTTTGAGATCAGTTTCCTGACTTCGTGGAAACTAAAGCAGAAAGTTGTTACATTTTTTTATGAAAGGCTTTTAGTAGAGTTTTGTAGTATTATTTTAGTAGGGTTTTATTTCTATGCAATGCAGAATTGACAGACCTCTGTACTCCATCCGTGGTACACAGTGTTACACACGGTTCTGAAGTCATGGCCAGGCTCATCACAGCAGCTGTGGGAGGAGGTTACGCTGATCTCTTAAACACTACAAGATGTCACATAATGAGAACTGATACAACTTTGCCTTAAAGAGTCCCTGACTGGAATTTGTCACATTGTGTTAAAGGAAGACTTGGCGTGTTCATTGATGTTTACGATTTTAATATTTATGAAGGCCGTTACATGGCCTGGATATGTGCTGAAAGCCAAACTTTTAAATTTTTTGGTTTTTTTAAACAAAGAAATATTTTAAATAAATCCTATTTCAACACAGTGAAATTGTTGAAAACTGTCTCATAGCAAAAAGAAAAATAAAACATTTCAGTTTTTTTGTTTTAGTGGTCAGTATAGGAGAATGAAAGTTGTCTGTTACCCTTACAGCTATTTTGATAAGTATTAGCAGTTTAACCTGAAATACCACAAAAATCGGGAGCGGAATCTTCCATCTGAACTGTGACACTCAGAGCTGAGGGCAGAAGTTCTGACACTGTCACGCCGTGTCCCGGTCGCCCGAGGTCCTGAGCAAACCTCCGGCTGGCTTGGAAAGCGGAGCCGGGAGACCGCGGCGCGGTGCGAGGGCAGATGGGCACATCCCCGACGGATTTCTCTGCCGGAGCAGCAGCCCGGCGCCCTGACCCCTCGGGCCGGGAAGGTCTGGGGAGCCGCCTGCCCCTGCGGTCCGCCCCAGCTTGTCTCTAACTGCAGGGCCGGCTCCAGGCAGGGGACGGTGGCGTGTACAGCTCAATACTGGTGAAACACTATTTAGCCTTCTGTTTATTAAGCAAGATATTCCCGTTTTCCACCTTACCCCAGTTTTATTCCGTGGTAATGTCAAAGGCTGGAAAGATGTCTGATGCCAGAGCTCCTGGCTGCTGAGCAGCGCTGAGGAATGGGAGGTGGCGCTTGGCTTCCCCGAGCATACGCGCGGGCTCTGAAGCAGCCTGCACCTGTCCTCCAGGACGGCGGTCAGCTGGGCGGTGCAGTGGTCAGCAGGGTCTGCATTGCAGCTCGCTAGTCAGAGGTCTTGGCCCTTTAGTGCAGACCCACCTCGTTCCCACCATCGCCAGCCCAGGGCAGCACCTTGCCCGACGGTCACCCACTCCGCTTCGAGGGGTGCTGGGGCCGCTGGTGGGAGTGGGGTCACACCCTCCTGCGTCCTCCCGTCCCTTCCTGCCTGCGGGTGACTCTTCCCATGCCTCGCTAGTTCATGTCCGAAGTCTTACAGTCGTAAGGGAAACAGCTGTCTCCTTGCTGGACCTTGTCCCCAGGATGGACTGAGCAGAGTGGGCCATGCCCCTCCCCAGGCCTCAGGGGCCGGACTGTGGCGCGCGGTCCCGAGCGCCTGGCTGCACTGGCGGGGCCGAGCGTCCCGTCCCTCCAGCCTTGGCCGCGGGCACACCCAGGCCGCAGCCCTCTCGGCTTCTGTCGGACATACTTTGTTTTTAGGAATGAAGGAAAATTCTCCCATTTTTTGAGCCATTCTTTTGTCAATTCTACAAAATTGCATGTAACTTTATAAATATTTTTAAAAGATATAGTTTTGTAAATATTTAATATTCTGCTAATTTGATTTTGAATTGTAAATGTCAAGTATTCTGTTTTTGGGGTTTTTATGTTTTATTATACTTTGTTAAAAAGGAAAAATTGTACATTTTTAGAATGTTTTTATGAGTAAATTTAATGTACTGAAAATAAAAAGTTTAAAAAAGCCTCTGTCCCCCAGTCCATCGCAGCTCTTGGTCTCTGGGTGTGGGGTGCAGGAGGCAGCCTCCTGCATGGAGGTCGCCCCCTTCCTGCCAGGATCACCAGGATGCAGTCCCCTGCTTTGGGTGAGGCGCTGGGCGTGGCAGCCAGCATGGGGACAGTGCCAGCCTGGGGCCTCTGGGCAAGGCCTGGCTCCCCCAGGCCTCGTCCCCTTCCTGTGTCCACGCTGGGCCCCACTGAAGTGCATGCTGGCCGCACAGCAAGCCCAGGCTGGCCTCAGCCTCCGGGGGCTGGGATCACAGGTGCAGCCGCCTTGCCTGACCCAGGGTTTTTAAAACACTGGCTGGTGCCGGGTGCCCGGTGTGCGTGCCAGTCACCTTCAGCGCCCGTGGGTGCCACCAATGACACATTCCCAGGGCACCTGGGTCCCGCGTCCTTTTGCCACAGCCTCAGCCAAGGCTCGAGGTGCTGTGGAGGCGAGGCCCGCACGCTGCCCACCCGCAGCCACCACCCAGAGCAGCCCTCAGGCACACAGTCGGCGCACAGTAGGGGATCCCAGACAGGTTCAGCCAATCTTTATTCTTGGTGCGTTAGAAGCATCTGCTTTTAAACGTCCTACAAACGAACATGGCCTCAGCGTGGTACTTGCGTTTTAGAAAGCAGTGTTGCAGGCGTCTACTGCTACAGTGGTTACAAGGATCTCAGTAGTGGTACGCACAGTCCAGAGGAGACAGGCTGAGAATGGACATCACGTGGAATCACACAGGTTAACATTACCGCTGGGCGGCATGCAGGGTGGGGTGGGGGCATCTGGGGACGGAGCCGGGGTCCTGGCGCGGCCTCCAAACTTCTCCCTCTGTGACAGCAAATGGCTCTCCTGTCATCACTGCAGACAGCAAACGAGGCCAAGCATGGCCTGCTCTGGTGGTGGTGTGACTGTGACCCTTCCGTGGCTCTGCCACATGGGTTCCTGCGTAGGTGCCCTGGGTGCACAGTGGGGCAGCCAGCGCCATGAGAACCTGTCCCTAATGCCCTGAGGACCCACTAAAGGAAAAGCACCACCTAGGACCACAGGCAAAGGGCGCTCACTTCCACCACTACCACGACCCCAGGACAGCACTGGACACTGCTGCTGCGCAGGGGCCCGCTGGAGGCCTCAGCCCAGAGATGCCAGCAGAAGACACCCCGCCGCTCCCTGCTGCTTTTAAGGAAGCCACAGGTTACTCGGCTCAAGCGCACCGCTTCCCACCGAGCGGAGCCACTGCAGCAGCTGCGCAGGAGGTGGTGGCAGGCCGGACTCGGGGTGCGGGGCCGCGTGCAGAGGGCGCTGGGGCCTCGGGGGCCCAGTGCCTGAAGTCACCGCTGCTCCAGTGGCCAGTTCCTACCAGGGGGAAGAGCGTTCAAATAACTGACGGGCTGTTCTACTGGCGATTTAGGATGCAAAGTATTTTATTTTTAAACTTCTAAACTTTGAAAACAAGGTAGCTGAGGTTAAATAATAGAGCTTTCCAAAGCTGAATGTGCTCACGGGAACTCAGTTTTTCTGCATGAAATACAAAAACAACTTCCTGAAACTCCTAGGTGGGAACGAGACTGTTCTGACACGCTGTAACTGGACGAGCTGAGCCATCTCAGCTGGTGACATCCCTTTTTCTCCTTGGCAAGGGCCTGCAGGCTCCGCGCTGTTCTAGGCGTGCGCCGACAGCCCCCCGAAGGTCTCCTGGGAGGCGTACACCATGTACAGGAAGCCGTCCTCGTCCTTCTCACTCTCATACACCTCGGAGATGGGCGTGGACACGCTCACCATGCTGTGGCCGTTCACCAGCAGGAAGAAAGCCTGGTTGGCGTTGAGCTGCAGGCGCCGCCTGTGGAAGGGAGTAATGCAAAGAGAAAGGCGCAGACGGGCACCCGGTTCAGAGACGCCTGTGGCCGCCCGCCCCCCGCCCCCCCAGCTGGCACGGGGCTGAGCCGCTTCTAGCAGCACCCCGGGGGAGCCCCCACTCCTCTGCTAAAGTCCCAGGCTTGCTTCCTTGACTGCGCTCCTCCCTGGCAGTGTCAGCAGTGGTTCTGGACCCGCTGCCCAGCCTAAGGCCGTCCCGGGACCGCAGCCGCAGTTGCTCCATTTCAGAGAGCAACATCTACACTAGGTACCGGCCTGCGAGGTCGGGGAAGTGGGAACTGGGAACTGCCATCCTCCCCAGGCTGGGGGAGCTGCCAGCAAGACCACAGGTGGGGAGCAGGGGAGGGGAGAGGCGGCCGAGACCTGATGATCTTGATGAGCTCGCTCATGTTCACGTGGTCAGGGACGAGGAACTTGGTTTTATCCAGGACAGGCAGCTGCTTCTCACCCTTGTATCGTTCTATGATCACCTAGGGAAGCCAGAGTGACTCAGAAACACATGGTGGCACACACCTGCCATCCCAGCACTCTCAGAGGCTGAGGCAGGAGGATCACAAGTTCAGGCCCAGCCTGGGCAACTCAGGGAGTCAGGGAGAGCTTGTCTCAAGACATAAGGAGCTGGGGATGTAGCTCGGCCTGAAGGCCCTGGGCGCAATCTCCAAAACTTCAAAACAAAACAAAACAAAACAGCTCATGTGCCTCCCATGTGGAGCCAATACCTGCCACAGCGGGGCTTAGCGCGCACAGCCCCCGGTTTGCTGGCAGCTTTCCTGTGGTCACTGAGCAGCGGGAGGCCTATTCCTGACAAAATGGAGCAGGTGGGGAAACACTTCACTCTGTGTCATTTCATTCTGTTTGAATCTGGCATCATGACAAATGACTGAGAGGACCCCGAGCCTCACGGGACGGCACTCCGAGCTCCAGCAGTCCTGTGTCACCTCCAGACCACTGTCCATGTCTTGCTTCTAGGGAGAGTCCGAGTTCCTCCTCCTCGGGGTAACAGGCTCTGTTTTTCCACACTAGAGACATTCCCTACGCAGCATGAGGAAAACCCCAAGTAGTCTTTCCAAGACCAGAAGACACCATATTCACTGGTTCTGAAGACCCACTTAATGCAGAGGGACTGTACAGCCCTTGGTTTTTTGAGGTCCTGGGGACTGAACCAGGGCCTGCTCAATGAGCTACACCCCCAGCTTCTTCCTAATGGAGCTCCAGTACTCTCCTGTCAACACAGGGTGACTACCAGGTGCCCTAAATCATGCAAATGTGCACTGACCACTTGCCATCTGACAACTCCTTCCTGCCTGACAGACAAGGATACCAGAACTCCTGGAATTTTAGTGACTAGTCCAACATCACTTAACAACCCTGAAGTTAGGATTGAACGCAGTCTGGTGGAATACAGCGAGGTCCTTGTGTGTATTCTGCTGTAAGAGCCCTGTAAGTGCCCCAGGCACTGGGCAGGTGAGCAGGCAGCTGGGGTCAGCGAGACACTCGGTGAGGGATGAGACAGCCATGTTTTAAGCCGGGAATGGTGGTGCACACCTGTAACACCAGCCCTCCAGAAGCCTGAGGCAGGAGGCTCACAAGCTGCAGCCAGGCTTGAGGATCTCAGCAAGACCCTGCCTCAAAATGAAAACTGAAAAGCACTGGGGACATAGCTCATTGGATGGGATGGGCCTGGACCAATCCCCACTACCACACAAAAAACAAACAAAAAAACCAGGAAGGAAGGAAGGAAGGAAAGAAGCCAGAAAGTCTCGGGGGCACAGTTAAACCCCAGGGCTGCGGAACCCCACAGCAATCACTACCGCTGTGTCCCTCTGAGAGACACTGATTACTTCTTTCCGTAGTGAGAGGGTGAGCTGGGTGGAGCGCACAGTAGAGCACCAGAACCAACCAAGCAGCAGGAGAGACCCCGCCTCACCTCCCTTTCTCCTTAAACAATGACACTTGGCTTGCAAATGCACAACACATGGGCAGCAAATTCAGCTTAGAAGAACGTGGCCAGATGAAACCGTGAGCACGTGACTCTGAGCTGTGACACTGACAGCCAGGCGCCTGCCGGACCTACCGGGATTTTGGTGGGGTGCTGCTCTCGGATGAGCCGCACATCTTCTACTCTTTGTTCTGCAAGGAGAGGAGAGACACAAGTGTCACTGGGACCAGACGGCAGCTTCCCGCGCTTCTGCAGCAGCCGTCCCCTCAGCTGAGGCCCTCTCCTGGGACTCAGAAGACTGAGCACGGTTACCTGGGCCAGAGGCAGCCGCACAGCTCTGCCAGGCAGGATGGGCCGCCAGGCGTGGGGAGCACCAGGCCACGGCTGAGCTCCAGGTGTGGGACAGACGCACTGAGCAGGGGCAGAGGGGGGCCCTGCCACCCAGGATGCCATTGTGCCCCATATGGGGCTCCACCCAGGACACGGGTTTTTGGTGTAATTTTCTCTGGTCACTGCCAACCCCGGCATGTGATGCCGAAGAAGAAATGCGCAGATGAACACGGTGCTGTGTCACACTGCGCCCCATGCCGGAGAAACCAAAGCTTGAATCTCAGAGTTGGCCGCTCAGTACCTCACTGAGACTCTGCTTTCCTTTTCCCTCTAATCCCTGGCCTTCAACAGCTTTGCCTGGCTTCCTGCACAACACAAGAAAAAGAGAAGCCATGTCCCAGTCTCAGGAGCCTGACTCAATGACCGAAGACGCAGTCACTTGTTGAGTGACACGGAGCACAGAACTGACAGTGGTGTTACTAAAAACCTCGGGCTAAGGAACAAAAACCACCCCAGTTTAGATAAATATTCAGCGTCGCAATCTTCCTTTGTTTCATCCAGGGAAAAGGTCACATTCACCTATTACAAACACTATGGAAATAATCTCTGTTCAAGTACAGCCACACAAACTCTATTTCTGTCTTCCCACAGAACATCTTATTTTGCTGCCTCTCAGTTTCTTTCTCAGGGTTTTGTTTTTGAGACAGGGTCTCACTGCATACCCCAGCCTGGCCTCAAACTCACAGGACTTTCCTGCCTCAGCCTGCAGTGCCGGGATTATGGTCTTGTGCTACCACATCTGGCTAATCCCAGTTTCTCTTTAGTTGCAAATTAAAATCCTTCTTGCACTGCATTCATTACTGTTTTATTAGTCAGCTGTTTTATTAGTATGCATTTGCAGTACATGATGACCACACTCCTTGTCCTGCACATTTTAAAATTAAGATGGTGGTGAACCTAACATGGGTTATTGTATTTTTCTTTGAAGGCAAACGATGTTAATACAAAGTTGTGTTTCATTTTGTTTTTATGGTTTTCTGAGACAGGGTCTCACTGTGTAGTCCAGGCAGAGATCCTCCTGCTTCAGCCTGAGTACTGGGATCACAGGCACGTGCTACCGTGCTTGGTTAAGAGCTTTTTTCCCTATACTAACCCCTCTGTGTTCAGGCTTAATTGCAGTGTTGACACTCCACAGTAAGTGGGTTGCAGTTTGGCCCTGGGTCTCTAAAAGGCTCACCATGACGGCTGTGAAACAAATGACTAAACACAAACACTGGTGCTGTAAGCAAAGAGCAGGGTAGGACCCCTGCATCTCTCCAGTGCACGTTGTAAGTCCCCGGCTTACAAACCAGTGAGCCCCACAAAATGTCCTGCACACATGTGACACAAATTTACCTTGTAAAGCACAAAAAAATCCAAACACACAAAAATACAGCAAATCCTGACCGTAGTGCTGTCCACTGTCACACCGTGCAGTGAGCACACAGCAGCACAACTGTGACAATGTCCAGCAGACACCGAGCTCCTCCCTGACCTGTTCACATGACACATGTTCCTCAGTGAGCCCAATGTTTTCTAGTATCTGTGAAAGTTCACAACTCTAGTGTTGTAAATTAGGGACTCACTGGATTCCTATTGAAAAATGTAAGGATAAAGTATATCTAGCACTGTTAACAGTAAACTGGCTGGTGTAGTGGCACACATCTGAAATCCCAGCAATTGTTTGTAATCCCAGCACCAGGGAGGCTGAGGCAGGAGGATCACCAATGCCAGCCTGGACTACCTCAAAAAACAAACAGTAAACTGGCCCCAGCAGCTCTCCACCTCCTGTGGCTTCTGCCCTCCTCCTGCCCATCTCTGAGCTCGCCTAGCCAGAACTGTGCTGTACCATCTAGACTGGCTTCTGTCTCTTTCCCAAAGATGCCCCTATCTTGTCAGTGTGGATCATTTCAGGGGGGAAGGGAAGTTACGATTTCATTAATTTGCTCTAACAAATAAATAGCTCTTTACACACCCTCAAATGTGCTTCACATTTAGAAGCTTATCCTAGGGCCAGGGATACAGCTCCGTGACATAACACATCCCTGGGAAGTGCAAGGTCTTGGGTTCAGTTCCCGGCACCGAAATAAATAAATAAATAAAAGCTTATCCTAGTTGAGTGTGGTGGTCCACAGCTGTAATCCCAGCACTCTGGTGCTGAGACAGGTCTGCCCTGGCCTGCACAAAAAACAAAACCGAACAGACAGCTTACTTTAGTAAATCTAAAAGTAGCAAGTAAATGGAAAGAGATTTTCTGTCACAAAATACATTTATCAGGTTAACTGGAGAAGTAAAAACCAAAGCAAGTTCTAGATGGAAGGCTTCCGAGTCCGAAGCCAGTGAGGAGAAGGATGAAGAGGCAGCATGGAAGGCCCACAGGGCTGCTCACTGCCCGGCCAGCTGCACAGTAGGGACTTCTGGGGGACCTGCAGCTGCGCCCCTGGCTTTCTCTGCAGACAGATGCTGCAGGGCTACCAACCACACGCCAGGGTGCTCAGGCCTCCTTCGCTCCCACCTTTCCCAATGCTGCAGTAACACTCATTTGTTGTCTGCCTCCAGCCCCAGGCCATCAGGGCCCTAGCCCTGTCCCTAAGAGAAGATGGTAGATAGCAGGAGGAGAGCAAAAGGAACTGCCCTCGGGGCTCCTTACTTCTGCCTTCTAAAAATCCTTAGAAAGCTGGGAGTGGTGGTATACTCAGGAGACTGTAGCAAGAGGATCACCAGAGCCTGGCCTACAACAAGACCCGACAGCAAAACAAAAAATCTTTAGGAGCCTCCCAAGCAGACACTCTAAGCTGTGTGTCTCGTTTTGCTAAAGCGTCATCTGCAAAACCACTGGGGTTGGCCTAGGACACTGAAAGTAGGCTCCTGTTTACACACCTCTCCTAGGATTTGCTTCACCGAGTGACTAGGAAGCATTATAAATACACCCGGTCTGTACCTCCTACCTCTACGCTGTAAAGGGACACCCAGCCGTCACCCAGTGACAAGGCTGGAGCTGGTGGAGCGCTGCCCGGGCTTCCTCGGGAGCCTGCTCGCCGGCCCACCCAGGACAGCTGCGGCGCTGTGTGCCCCGGAGTGACACAGATGTCCCCGCGGGGCACGCCCGCGCTCCCTCGGCAGCTGGCGACCCACGCCGGCCGCCTCTGTCAAAGCCCAGGCGGGACACAGATCGCCGACCCCCCCTTCGCCCCAGTAGATGCTCTGGGGCCACCGGCAGAAGCTGCGCCTACAATTACTCGCTCGACTGAAGTTTAGTTTGTAGTATTTTCAATCGCGCCCCAAGCAGCCGCGTCAGTCTCGGCCCACTTCACGCACTGGCGCTGACAGGCGGCCCAGGGGACGCCCGGCCACCCGCCGGCCCCGCCCGCCTCCACATGGGACCTGCCGGCCGGAGCTGCGGACCTCGGCCAGGCCCCCGCACGCTCGCTCGGGGCAGGAAAGACCGCCGGGCCGCGGCTCTCCCCGAGGAGCGTGGCGCCCGGGACCCGAGCTCCCCACCCAGCTGCCATCGCGAGGCCTCACGGCCACCGAGGAGGGGACTAAGGGGACCCGGGGGCGCGCGGAGCAGGCCTTCCCTGCCCGACGGCCCCGGACCGCCGACCCCGAGGCAGGCACGGCCTCCCGCCCGTCCGGCCCGGCCCCGCGCAGTGCCGCCCCTCAGGGCCTGGGGCCGGACTGTCCACAGCGCCCAGGCTCCGCGCCCCGCCAGGCCAGCCCGCCCGGGCCTCGGGGTCCGCGCAGGGGGCACGAGGAGGCTGGAGCGCCGTGACAGAGCTCGCGCGGACTCAGGCCCGGCTCCGCCGCCGAGGGTCCGTCCGCGACGCAGGGACGGCGGCGCCCACCGCCCCACACCCGCCCGCCCGGGCCTCCCCGACTCGGCGCCTCCTCCCACCGAAGGTGCGGCGCTGCTTGAAGGTCTTTTCCGACGGCATTGTGCTGAGCTCCCGGGGGCGGCGGCGGCTCCGAATTCGGCGACGGCGACTTCCCTTGTGTCTCCTCACCCCGCAGCCGGGTCAGGTGACCCACGCCGCGTCACGGGGCGGGGCCAGAGCCGGCCGAGGCGGCGGCCACCATGACGGGCGTGGCGGAACCCCCGTGCCGTGCGCAACGCCAGAGGGCGGGGCCGATCCTGCGCGTGCGCAGCAAGAAGGTGCCTGCCGCGCATGCGCAGAGAGGGCAGCGGCATCTCCGGGCGGTGAGGTTTGCGTGGGTCCTGCTTCCTCTGGCGGGGGGCTGCGATTTGCTGTCGCGCGCCCCTGACACCCGCGCTGGGGGCGATCTGGTTCCCACACGGCAGCGGGGCCGGCCCGGGAGCACGTGAGGAGGCGGCGCTGACCCTCGGGCAGGTCCTCTGCTGCAGTCAGCCTGGTGGCCCGGCGGAGGCAGAGGCAGGTGGATCCTTACGATTTTGAGGGCCGCCTTGGTTACCTAGTGAGGTGGTGTCTTAAAAAAAAAAAAAGGTTGAAAGAAAAACTTAAACGTGGTTCAATGGATCACGTGTTGTGTTTTGTGACTGACATGTCTGATTCCAGAATCAGTAAAAAGCCAGTTGCCAGCTTAGACTCATGATGACTTTGTCCACTGGCCTGCGTAGCTGACATTTCTCTCCTGCCATGCCTGGTACCTCACAGGTCCGTGAGTGACTGTGGGTTGATTCCTAGCCCTGGAGGATGACGAAGCCGCAGCCCCACACCCTTCCCAGCCCGTGTTTGATTCCCTCCATTCTTTACCTTGAAAATACGCAGCAGTAACGATCTAGTATGAGTGAGTTTCTATAAGGTCCGTCTGGTTTCCCAAGACCAGAGAGACCGTTTATAAACTCCTAGTGAACCGACGTGTATTCGGATGGAGTTCTCCCGAAGGTGTATATGGCTTGGTTGTTTTGTATTTATTCCACGAAAACTGAAATGGGAAAAATCCAACTCCGTGCAGTGAGGCACATCTGTAATCCCAGAGGCCGAGGCAGAAGGATCTTAAATTCAAAATAGCCTAGAACCTAGCCAGGCTGCGTCTGAAGATATAAGTTGGAAAGGGCTGGGAGTGGGGCAGCGTGCGCAGCCCCACTGGCTTAGCAGGCGCAATGAACGCTCTGGGTTCTGTCTCCGACACCCGAGAGGAAGCAAACAGTCCGCTAAGCATTTCTATGTCCTTCACGTCTGGGCAGACACGGAGCTGGTGCTGCTCTTTTGAGAGACTGTGGCCTGCAAGCTTCTCCCTTTTCCGGATTGCATGATAAATATTGACTGGTGAGTGCTTTCTTGGCTGAAGCGTTACCTGGTAGGAGGTCAGCTTTTTTTCTTCCGCAGCATGATGTTCCAAAGGCAAGAAGAGGGCAGACGTCGATATCCGGCTCATTTTACTCCCGTGGGGCTTTGTCAAATCACCCCAGACCTGCATTCATTGTTACAAGATTGTGGCAGTGTGGGGCCGGGCTCCTGTGTGCCTGTCTCTGTTCTGGGTTATGGTCTCACTAGGTAGCCCAGGCTGGCCTCGAACTCACAGATATCTTCCTGTCTTGACCTCCCAAGTGCTGATATTACAAGTATGCACCACCATGCCCAGCTCTTCTCTGTGTTTTGAAATACTGCAGATGTTTTATTTCTGCCCCAAACTTCTCATCACCACCTGAATCAAAAGCCACATGGTGGTGACACCTGTGATCTCAACAGTCTGGAAGGCTGAGGCAGGAAGACTGCAAATGCAAGGCCCAGACTAGCATCTAGCAAGGAGACTGTTGCATTATAAAAAAGGGCTGGGGATGTAGCTCAGAGCAAAGGCCTTGCGTCCAATCCCCAGTTCTTCAGAAAACGAAACACCAGACCACAACAGCCCCCTGGCAGCAGCTGCAGTCTCCGATGGCGAGGTGCCACTTCTGCATTAAGAGCTGCCCATTTACATCAGGGACACGTGGGTTATATTTTGTTTATTTTGGTTTATATACAAATATAAATTAGGCCTTCGTGGACACAGCCAACAGAATCTCACGGAGGAGGTGTGAACCATCCCACGTGGGCACAAGGGGACTGCTGAGTGCAAGCCAAGCGTGGTGGCTGCTGTGACCCAGGTGAGTGAGCAGTGCTCCTGAGGTATGGCACACCATCGTCCGCGTGTGCAACCAGTGAGCCCGGCCGCACGAGAAAGGCAAAAACCCATCCCCCCACCCCGCGTTGGCAGCACCTGTCTTGCTGAGGCAGGGGGATCTCGTAGTTCAAAGCCAACCTGGGCTACAGAGTGAAACTGTCTCTGAAACAAAACCACGAAACGGCTTTCACGTAAACATATGCGATGTTTTCCTTAGGAACTTCCTGTATCGCAAGTTCCCACGAAACCCTCCACCCTGTGGGCAGCGGGTGGGGCCCTGGAGACGCCCCATCCCCCACAGGATTCTGCCACACTCAAGATGGAGGGCTGCGGTTTGGCTGTACGCCGCGGGGCTGCCGGCTCGGCCCGCCCCTGCCTCTCTGTGATTGGCTAGGCTTTGTTGTCGGGGCGGCTATTGGTCTGCAGCCCAGTCAGTTGCGGTACCAGCCCTGCTCGCCTGAAGAAGTAAACAAACACTGATTGCTCAAGAGCCGCGGCAGGCTGTTTTCGGAAGGACGCGGCCCGTGGGTGACAGCGGCTCACGTGGCCTCGCGGGCAGCCGGCGCGGCTGTGGACCGCGGCGCCCTCCCGGCGTTAGGGCGCCGCGCCGCGGAGCAGCGTGGGCTTCTCCCAAGCCTCGGGTGCGAGCCCCTTGCCAGCCGGGAAATCACTTCTGCGCCCTGGCGCAGTCGGGGACCAAGCCGCTGATGTCCAAGTCCAGGAAATGCCCTTGCAGTGACTTTTTTTTTCTGGCAAACAATTGAAAAAATGTACCGTGTCGTACATGGTATTGATTTCCTTATAAGTGATCATTTCTAGGAGTTAACTTTTGCAGCCAGGTGCGGGGGGGGGGTGCACTGCTGAACGTCCAGCACCCTGGGAGGCTGAGGCAGTAGGATCCTGAGTGTACCCTGCCTATTCGTTGCTTGTAAAGGTGTAGTTCCTTTTTAGGGGACGCATCTGAAGAGGGCTCCGTTTATAACAGCTGCGTGCTGGCGCCAGCAAAGGCTTCTCCAGCGTCTTTCCTTCCACATGATGCCCACCTTTCCCCCACTCGTCTTCGGGCCATTCACACGTGTACGCCTTTCCACGCCGTCACTACCAGTTTCTGTCCAAATAAATCCTGTACTTGTTAAGGTATTTAAAAATGGTTTTATTAAAGAAAAATCTTTAAAAATAAAACAGATGATGCAAAAGCGATGTTGTCAGCGCAGTAATGCCTGGGAGGTTACATACCTGACGGGCTGCTTGCAATTTCACCTCTGAACAGACAGCAGAGGGCCTGGGCCACATCCAATCAGCTGCCTGCGGTACGTCTACACCCCAAGCTGCCCAGGGAGCTGAGCTGGCTTCCCGGCAGCTGCTTCGGGCTCCGCCAAGTCATCCCTGGCCCTGCCTCGCTGGCCTGGTCCCAGGAGTTTTCAATCTGCTGGTCTCCTCCTTCTCCCCCAAGCTGGCGCCCTCCTGCAGTGCCTCCTGGGCTTTGTCTTGCCTTGTATGCTGGTTTAGCTGGGAAGGAGCAGCAGCCCTTTGGGTTGTCCTCCAAGAACCCTTGCTCTGGCAGCTGGCTTCTTAACGTGCCCTGTGCTGTGTGTGTGCATCTGTGTGACACCGGAGTGGAACTCAGGGCCTCAGGAAGTAAGTCTAGTTTCACCTCAGAGTGGACACATGCAGGTACACTTCAGTCCAGGCATTGTGGCTGGACACTGCAGAATTACACAGCTCACGTGATGACTGTATTATAATAGGATCAGCCTCCTAAAGAGAAAACCTTAGCTAAACTGTCTCACCCGTAATGTACTCTAAGCTCCGCTAGGGAAAATTATGTTTTATCCCCAGCTCGTAATGTGGGGCCTTCTGCAGGTGGGTGGGCTTTCTGTTTGTTTTAATCAGCTGGAATGCATGGCAGGAGGTCATACTTTGTAATTTAGGAATATGGAACATAGCACACAGGCCAGTCATTCCATACACATCTAGACCTGCTCCTGGGCATGGTGCTGCATGTCTGGGATCCCAACACTCGGGAGGCTGAGGCAGAAGAATCCTGTGAGCTGGAGGCCAGCCCGGGCTACATAGTGAGTTCAAGGCCATCGTGGACTACATAGCAAGACCCTGTCTCAGCTAACTAATAACTAACAGACTAATCATGCAGCTCCGTATCTGGCTTCTCTATGGTCACAACCCCACATGCTGCATGTGAGTGGTTCGGGAACCTCGTTTCCAGGCCTTTTAACCTGTTAGTTTAGCCTGCTCTTCTTCATTTAACATTCAGTCAATAAACATTTGTTGGTGACATTGTCTGGGAAGTAAGTCTAGGAAGTCTGCTGGCACACGGGCGGCAGGGATGTGTCCAGAGAGGCTGCTGACAAGCAAGTGCATATAAAAGAGGGGTCCACTGGAGGGACCATTGTCCCCAGTAGATATCCTGGGAGCTCTCTAGAAGGGGCACCTTCCGACGTCCAGGACGCAGTGGTGCCTATGTTAGGATGTTCCTGCCTAGGTGTGGGGACACGCTGGGCACGGCCACTCCTTGAGGAGCCGTGTGACTGGGGGGACTCGCGTGGGCCATGCGAGTGCTTGGTGCTGTTATTTCACAGTGGGTGGACAGTGGCGCCTTGGGCAGGCTCGGCAGGGCTAGTGTCCCCACCGCTGCCCCAGGCACAGGCCAGGCAGAACTAGGCCACCTCGGCAGGGTGGGAAAGGCCCAGCTACAGTCTTCGTTTACAGTCTTCATTTTCTTACAATAAGCAATATGTCCACCCGGAACTGACAGGGGGAAGGGCGCTGGAGAAGCTGGGAACGCCATTCCTGCCTCACCTTCTGAGCCGGGACAGCAGGAGAGCAGGCAGACAGAGCAGGCAGACAGGTGAGCATGTGCGCACGTAAACAAACAGGCTAGTGAGAGCTGTAGGCAAGAGCTCCGCGTCGCGCAAGCCCCAGCGCGCAGGGTGACCGAGGCGGCAGAGCAAGCCCGGGCAGAAGCGCAGCGCCACCCGCCGGCCGCAGTCTGGCTCGACTCTGCAAAGGCCTGGGCGCCACAACACTACCAGGGGCCTCGTTAGCGCAGTAGGTAGCGCGTCAGTCTCATAATCTGAAGGTCGTGAGTTCGATCCTCACACGGGGCATCCGCATTCCTTTTGCACCTGGCGGCGCGACTTTTTTCCCAGGCTGCAGAGTTCTTGAGGGCGTTGACAGAGGTTCGCCGAGGCCGAGGCCTGAGAAGCCAGGGACCCCGAGACCCTGAAACCCCGCAGGCTTTGCTCGCGCGGGCGTGGCCGGGGGCGTGGCTGGACGTGGGGCGGGGCTCTGCGCGCGCGTGCGCAGAGCGGCGCGGGGACGTGCGTGCGCCGGCCTCCCGGCGGGCATGGCGGTGTGCGCTCGGCTCTGCGGCGTGGGCCCGGCGCGCGGGTGTCGGCGACGCCAGCAACGCGGGGGCCCTGCCGAGACGGCGGCGGCCGACAGCGAGCCGGACACGGACCCGGAGGAGGAGCGCATCGAGGCGGGGCCCTCGCCGCCGCCGCCGCGCTGCTCGCTGCTGGACCTGCCGCCCGAGCTGCTGGTGGAGATCTTCGGCTCACTGCCCGGCACCGACCTGCCCAGCCTGGCGCAGGTCTGCAGCAAGTTCCGCCGCGTGCTGCACACCGACACCATCTGGCGGCGGCGCTGCCGCGAGGGTGAGCGGAGCCCAGTCGGGTGGGGGTGTGTCGGGCCCGGGGCGGCTTCGCGGCGAGGGATGGGGCGCCCGGGCTGCGGGCCAGTCCGCGCACCCAGGTGGGCGCCGGCGCGCCGGGCTCGGGTGCCGGCGAACCAGGCCCTCGGGGTTCCGAGGAACCGAGCTGCCCCCGCTCCCACCCGTCTTTGGGTCCCGGACCTGGGAGCTCGAGAGCCGAGAAGCGCCCGAGAAAGAGGGGTCCAGCTCCTGGTGAGCTGCATTTGCAGCGGGGTTGGGACGCGCCCTCGGGAAGGTCGAGTGGTTTTTCTCGGGGTTTAGGAGCGGGAGTGAGGGCAGGGAGCAGCTGCTCCAGGTGACCCAGGGTCCACGGTTCTCAGTAACTGCTGTGCGTCTACGTCGTATTTCGGTAAAAAGGATAGGTAAACAACTCCCGAACAAAGGAAGAAAGTGTGGCTCGGTAGAGACCGTGCAACCGGAGATAAAGCACTGCGAACCTTTCTGGGGACCCCTCTCTTCCCGTGCACGCTCCCCGGTGCCGTCACGCTGCGTGTCCACCTGCGGAGCGGGCGCACCAAGCTTCGCGCGTTGCGCGGCCTGCAGACCGCGCACACTCAGCCCTGGCCGGCTTTGAAGCTTCCCCGTCACTCCTCGCACACGCAGTGCTTTCCAGGCTGCTGTGCGCGTCGTGCAGAATACCGGCGGGGTGGGGGGTGACCTGTATGCTTTAGGACGCGGAAGATTGCCTTAGGGCACACTTCTCACGGCTGGGTCGGGGGCTGGCGCTGAGGAAGCTCTGCCAGCAATCGTCCAGCTGTTGAGCTCACACCCCAGGAAGGCCGCACCGCAGGCCTCTTTCCACAAGTCCTCCGGGGCTCATTGCATTGCCTTTGTGGCCAAGGCCCAGAGTGGCAAGTGCTGCTCCCGTGGGTGGCTTTAGTGGTAAGTGAGATGAAGCCTGAAGCCGTGGAGCCCACACCCTGAAGCCGTGGTGGTTTGATGATTCTGCTGCTCGGCTGGTTTTATTGCACCTTTTAAAATCTGCTTTGTTGTTTGACTTGTTTCCTCTTAGAGCATCTGTCTTTGTGTTACGGATTTGTGAGGACATTTCATATTAATCCTTCCTACTGGGTGGGCCGATTGGCTTTTATATTTTAAAATCAGGACAAAGAAAAATTCAACTTTCTTTTACCCTGTGATCTGTACCTTTTCGTTTTCCAATTCATACACCTGTCACACTCAGAGCTGTCTCAGGGTCCTCTGGGGTCCTTGTCCTTCAGGAACTGTGAGGAGTGTCCTGCTGAGCTTAAGAGTAGGATAATGGATTTTTATGTGTGTGTGATCAAAATTCAGAGGTTTGCCACAGAGTCCCTTTAACTGACTTGTAACTCAGGATAAAGTCTAAGAATTCAGGAGGAGATAACTATAGGAGGTCCTATCAGGATGCAGAAAGACGTTGGGGACCTGGTGGGGGGACTCTTCCTGCGCCCTTCTCTCTGTAGCCCCCAGTGGCTTTCCTGGGACTCCAGAGGCCCTGATCCGAGAGTTAGTATCTCATTTACTGAGGTGACCTGGTGACACTAGAGTTCGAGAATTACAGAAACAATAAAGCTACCTCCCTCCTGTGTGGAACCTTTAACTCTTCGTTATTTGGCTGATCTACTTTTTTTTTTCAGTGCGTTTTATCTGAGCCACAGCAGCCCCCCTGCCTCAAGCTCTTTTTAGTTTTATAGTATGTGACAGGGTCTTGTTAACTCGCCCAGGCTGCCTTCTGCCTCAGCCTCCCAAGTATCTGGGATTACAGGTGTGCATTACCGCACCTGGCGCCTCTACATTTTAAAAAAATCATCTCTGCTAATGTTGAGGACACTTTTGATCGCCTTCTCTTTCCCATTCAAGCAGCTTCTCTTCATAGTGTGCATTTTCCAGGCTTTTAAAAACTACCTGTCTGTGTGTTTACTGGTTTAATGGCCAATCTGACATCCCCGGGGGAGAGGGGGTCTCAGTGTTTAGAGCTCACACTGTGTCTTTTGGAGAACGGGACTCCTGTGTTGCCAGGGGTGGCCTCAGACTCCTGGGCCTAAGTGGTCCTTCTGCCTCTGCCTCCGGAGTCCCTGGCGCACAGCACTGCTCTTGGCTGGGGTTAGGTTAGCTCAGTGCTTTTAAACGTCGTGTGGTGGTTCAGAGCTGGGCGCCCACTTTCTTTCTTTTCCTGTTCTCATCATGCCCCAGCGGACAGCCTCTTGTATCTTTGGTTGTGTGCACGGTTCAGGATTCCTCTGAGGAATACTGCTAAGTGGTGCGGTGGGGCCCTGGGCCTGGCTGTGGTTGTTTCCGGGCGGTTTCTCCTGTCTCCAAAAGTGGGCTGCAAGTGACAAGGAGCACCGTAGCAAGGAGCACAGTACAGCAGGTGCCCTCCTGGTGCTCCACGACTTGCAAGCTTTCCCATGTGATGCAGCCTTCCCGGCTTGCTCTAGCTTGAATGATCACCTTTATAAGCCAGTGCCAGTCTAGGTGAAAACCAGCACCTCGTTTTCCTTCACCTGGTGGCTCGTGTGTGCGCACATCTCACCACTGGACTGTCATTTCAGAGTCTCCTGTCTGGTTCTACTTAAGCTCTGTCTTGTTTTCTGTTATTTTTCTTCATTTTATGGTCTTTATTCAGTGTAATCCACGTAGATTTCTGCTTAATAGATGGCAAAGTGTTTTTCTTCATGTAGTCCTTTTGTGGTAAGCATTTGGTCTTTACATCATCCACAGTGACTTGTGAAATTCTCAGGAGTCAAACGGAGTCAGAGTTACGGATTTTAAACTTTGCACTGAGGCAATGGTTTTTGATCCCGAGGTTTGGAACACAGCCCACTGCTGAGTTTTCAGAGTTGTTCTCCTTGTCCGGGAGGGGGGCCCATGTGCTACCTCATCTTTGATGGACTTGACACTGGGGACTGTGGTGTGAGTAGGTGGGAACTGTCCTGGTCCCAGCTGCCGGTGTCCTTCCCAGCTCTCTTGGGAAGGACAGGGAAGCTGGTGTGGGAGTCCCATAGACAGTTGGGACCAGTACAGTGAGCAGCTCGGCACCAGGCACCTGAGTGTCCCATGAAGGACAGTAACTCGCCCCACCCTGTGAGGCCCTTGAGTGCTGGGTGACCCAGGGCAGCTGGGAGCAGCCCACCTGAGTGCTTCTGGAGGACTCTTCCCAGGCAGGTGGAAGCGAGTTCCGGCTGTGAAGCCCGGCCTGCCCTGGCCTGACCCTGGGCCAAGGATCTGACAGGCTGGGGACATTGCCCTGTGACTAAGCAAATCAGGTGGCCTGCAGCCAGGGTGTAAACAGCCCTGACGCACTGTGGCCTGGCCTTGGCCCCTGCAGCTGCATGCACAGAGGGCTGTAAATAAGTCATCGCCTCCCCGGGCCAGGGCGGCAGCCCAGCAGGTACCCGCTGTGCCCTGCCAGGTGTCCAGGTGGTGCAGGCGCTGCCCTCCATGGGCTCCCACATGGGAGCTGATGCTAACACATTCTCTAGGGCTTCCATAAGGTCTGCCTAAGGCTAATGAGCTTTGGACATTCAGGCCCTGATCCTACCTCAAAATATTCAGATAATTGCCAGGGATAGAGTCCAAAAAGAGGAAGTACTCATATGTTAACTTCCCCTCCAGGTGGGCGGGACCTGACTATTTGCTATCACTCAGCTTCCAGCTGTGTGGTTGAGGGCTTCTAATTTCCTACTTGCCTGTTTCTTTCCCTGATAATAAATACTTTAATGTCAGCCTGGGGTAAAATTTGTACTACGTCTTGATTAGCTGTAAGTCAAAAGTGGGTGTGACATTCCTCCTAGGTAGAGATACCTTTTTTCTTTAATACTGGGTCTTTTGAGCCAACAGTCGCGGGGGCGTGGGGGTATCGCTCAGTGGCACAGTACCTGCCCAGCGAGCACAAGGTCCTGAGTTTGATTTCTGGTACACATCAGCCACCCGCCAAAAAAAAGATCTTTCCAAAAACCAGTAATGTTACTGGATGCAGCAGAAAGTGCTATTTCTGTTCTTTCTGACTCCCTGATGTGAACTTCAAGCTGTGGCCTTTGCTACGTGGCTGGGGTTGGAGGGATCCTCTTGGGAGGAGGCTTCAGCCCTGCTCTCGGTGGACACTTGTGGAGTCCAGTGTGCCGGCCTGGGAGTCCGGAGCCCTGGGAATAGTGCCGGCTTTTTCTTGTGCTTTGCTCCTTGGAGAAGGAGTACAGAGCTTGGTATTTTTGCAAGTTGAATCTCAGACTTTACTTAATGGGGAAACGCAGTCCTTACTCAGCAAAGTAGCGGTTGGGAGTGGGGGGGGGGTGTTGTGCTGCTCGGGGGAGTTTTTTAAAGCAGCTGTAGGAGGCCAAGGGTATAGCTCAGCAGCACAAGCACCTGCCTGGCAAATGCAAGGTCCTGAGTTCAATCCCCAGTGCAAAAAACAAGAGGATTAGGCAGAATTTTGAAAGTGCACACATAAATAACATGCAGGGCCTCGAGAGACAGGCATGCCAGGCTAGCTGGGTCAGTCTTGTAACCCCAGCTTTTGGGAGGCAGAGGCAGGAGGACTGCCATGAATTCAAGGCCAGCCTTGGCTACTGTGCACAGCAAGACCCTGTCTCAAAACTCAACAAAATTAAACAAGAAAGAAAAAAGGGGGTGGGAGGCTACAGGTTACATTTCTGGGGCTGAAAATGATTATGTGTTGACCTGGCCTAGCCAGGGATCACAGGCGTCACCCTTGTGACCTGAAGATGTGGAAGACGTGTTCTGTTGTGTGATGAAACATCACCCTTGGGAAGGGTGAAAGAGGCCCGGACATTAGTAAGTCCCTAAACTTTATCTTATAATCACGTTAAACAAGAGGGCCCAGAAATGAAAACAGAATCTTGGTGAACAGTGGCTCACAAAGTTACAAGGAGCCAGACAACATTGGGTGGTGTTTGGCTTACGCTTTTTCCTTCTGTTTTCCGAGACGGTGTCTCCCTGCATAGGTCG